CCATTATTATGTTTTAAGAGAAACTAAAAGCATCTTATTACAAGAGAAAGTAAAGAGCCTTCCTCTGGGTCTCTAGAGATGGCATTTCCTGTCTCTTTTCTGATAGGAGAAAAGAGCAGGGATGACTTCATTCCATGGCTCAGAAAGCAGGGCTTATTATTATCTTTGTTTGGAGAACAATTCCTCCTTATTCAGAGCTGGGAGGCACACTTTTTAGACACACATTTGCTCACTGTCCAGAGAAGAAATGTCCTGCCATTGTTTTTTGATAAACAACAAATACATCTGGCAAGCCGGTTTGTTTGTTTAACTTTGTAACTGTTAACATGGCTTTTCCGCTGAAAAGAGTGAAGATAGAACTGGTTACAAACGGCCCCAGCTCTTCAGGTCACCCGCACACAGAGCAGAAGGAGGGCTTTTGCTTTATCCGTAATTTCGTAAGGGGTCACACGGCACAGAGAGTTTTCTGTGTGTTATAGCCAAATAAATGGTGGAGGGACACACACTATGAAAGGAAAAACCAGGGTCACCCATATCTCAAGCCACATGAAATGGTAAGGTCACAATTGCATATTTCAGATAATTGTTTACTCATGGAGGAGAGTGTAACCACATCCTCATGGGAGAAAACGCACCAGTAAAGTCAAGGTGTGCCTTAAACACAAATGCATGTTTACCAAACCTTTACGGAGTGGCAGAAGGATTTCCTATGTGGATTATTCAATCAAATCATCTCTAATGCTTCTAAAACAAGACTTTGGGGGGGGGGGGGCTCTTGTCTCCAGAGAAGATTCCTTTTATAAAATCCAGCCAACCTGTGCCCTGCAGTGTCCATGTCTGTGCATTTCCTGTCCCCACCCACAGGACTGCCCAGGGGTGAAAGGGAGCTTTCGTTTTGCTAAAACATTCATTTTAAGAGTTGCTATAGAGATAGTGTGAAAACCTAGAGTACGGCTCTGAGTTTGGCGCTAGGTTTTTCTTTGTCTTTTTGTGCCTGTCTTTGACTCTCAGAGTAAAACTTTTGGGAATGGTGGTATCTCTGCAGCAAACTGCAGAACCATGGTCCTGCCTTGGAAACAGATCTCATGACAGAGAATTCACCAGGTGAGGACATCACGACCCCAGCTGCCTCCCTGGGAGGGTACGCTTTAGCCCTGGTGGTTTGACATGGCCCTCCTGTCTGTCCTGGGATTCTCCCCAGCTGTTCCACTTCCCTATCTGTCTCTCTCTCCCCCTACAACCTCCCTCCCATTTTCCCTCCAGGCTTTTTAAAAGTGGTACATGTGGCTTTTGGAAAACCGGCTTGCACTTTACATGCTTTCTCCAGGTTTCAGAGTTTTTCTAACCTTGCCCCCAGCTCTAATTCTTGATTCTTCCATAGCCTTGAACTTTTCTTTTCTGTTTTGTCCCTGTGTCCATTATGAGAGCTGAAAAATGAAGCCCCGAGGGGCTCCCCTTTGGTCTGTAGAGACCTGAAAATTGCTGGATAGATAAAACTTACTGCAAAGAGGAGCTTAAAACAGTGAAACTCGACCTCTAAAGAGACACAAGAAAACATTCCCTTATAAAGGAGCACTGTTCGTAAAGAAAAAAAAAGAAAGGAACCCTGATGTGTCCTCTCTTCCCTTGCCTTCCCGAGTCAGTTATCTTTCCTGACTCAGCTAAGTCATAGGTTCTGACTTATGGCAGACTTAGGGAACTCTCTTCCTGTGTCTCCTTCTGTCCCCAACCTTCTCCACAGTGCAGAAAACAGCACGTTCAAACCAGGAACTAAAGGAAGGGGCTTATTGGAGAATTTAGGAGGTTCGTGGACAGGGTTCAGGAGAAGGAGTAAGGGACAGGGTGGCACCCTGGGGAACTGTTCCGGCCTCCAGGCCTCAGAGGGCAAGGAGGAGCCCTCCTTGCAGGAGTGCCACAGGTGAGCTGTGTGCAAGATCTACAGACCCAGCCAACCTGCAGCATCTCAGCTGGGGAATTCTGCAACTGAACCACCCATACTCCAGCTTCTCAGAGAGAGGAGGCCGCAGGTACAGATCCTGCCTTCAGAGCTGGAGGGTGAGGGAGCCCACTTACAGAGTCCAAGCAGGTCAGCCTCTGGGAACCAGAGCAGGGTGGAGAGTGGGTCTGGGAAATCCCCAGTACATTCATTGCCCAAGACAGTGAGGTCACAGTGGAAAGATATTAAAAGATTTGGGGAAGTGGCGATTTTAGGTCTCTGAATTTAAAAAAAAGACATCATTCTCTTAATATTTCTATATATTTCTAGCATTTCTTTCCTTGAGATCTTTGTCTTTTCTGGTGACCTCATCTCGTCTCCTGGCTTTAACTACCCCACTTTATTATGGTCCCAAACTTATCTTTGGTGTTGACCCCTTTCTGAACTCAGACTGCAGCCAAGTACGCATCAGCCTTTCTACTTGGGAGTCTCGTAGAAATGTCAACTTAAACCCGTACAAAACCATGTGGCTGAGCGTCCCTGACCAGACCCATTGAGACTTCCCTCTCCTTCTGAAGCTCAGACCAGCAACCTCAAAGTCACTCTGGGCTTCTCACTTTCTCATATGTGGTCCTATCCCCCAGACAATCCTGGTGGTTTGACTAATCAGAAGACACCCCAAATCTGAACCCCCATCCCTCCCCACACTACTAGTACCACCTGGTTTGAGGCCCAGTCATGTCCAGGGCATTGCAGCAGCATTCTGTCTGGAATCTTCCCTTCCCAACATCTGTACTCCGAGTCATCCCTTCGCTGTAGCTCATTCAGATGAAAAGGCCTACAAGAGCCCACACACCTCACCCTTCCTCCTCCGACCTCATCTCCTAACACTGTCCTGGAGGCTCACCCAGACCGAGCTCCCTGAGGTTCTTGCTGGGTAACCCCACACACATGTGTGCCCCACGGCCTTCACAGAAAGCAAGGAAGTGAACTTACATTTCTAAATATCTAAGTCAAGCAAAGTGGCACATACCTGTCATCCCAGGTGCTCAAGAGGCTGAGGCAGGAAGCTCACTTGAGTCCAGGAGCTGGTTCTCGGCTGTAGTGCACTGTGCCAGTCAGTTCCACACGTTAAATTCACATTGATGTGATGGCCTCCTGGGAGCAGGGGCCTACCAGGTTGCCTAAGGAGGGGTGACCTGGCCCAGGTCAGAAACAGCAGGTTGGCCAGATGCCAGGGCTCAGGCCTGTAATCCTAGCGCTCTGGGAGGCCAAGGCTGGTGGATTGTTTGAGCTCAGAAGTTCAAGACCAACCTGAGCAAGAATTGAGACCCCCGTCTCTAAAAGTAGCTGGGTGTTGTGGTGGGTGCCTGTAGTCCCAGCTACTCAGGAGGCTGAGGCAAGAGAATCACTTGAGCCCAAGAGTCTGAGGTTGCTGTGAGCTATGATGCCACTCTACCAAGGGTGACAAAGTGAGATTCTTGTCTCAAAAAAAAAAAAAAAATTAAGTAATGAAAACATCCAACCATATGTTGAAACATCCATCTGTTACAGATGTTTATAACAGCATTATTCATAATAGCTCAAACCTGGGAACAATGTCCGTCAGTTAATAAATGGGTAAACAAAACGTGGTATAGCCACATAATGGAATAATCAGTCGACAATAAAAAGGGATAAGTACATGTGGCAATATGGCCGAACCTTTAAGACCCCATATTAATGAACATTGTGACATAATGAAAACAGCCCAGTCACAGAAGTGCTCACACTATGTGATTCTATTCATACAAAACACCCAGAATAAGCAGAGCCATAGAGACAGAGAGTAAACGATGGTGCCTAGGACAGGGAGGTGGGGGAATTAGGTAGTAACAGCTAAGATACAGAGGATTACTAAAATTGGTGTGGTGGTGGTTGCATAGCTTGCAACTCTACTAAAAATGATTGAATTGCATAATTTGAATGGGTGAATAGTATAGTGTGTGAATTATGTCTCTCAGTAATTAAAATATGATCAAAGTGGAGGCCAGGTGCAGTGGCTCACACCTGTAATCCCAGAATTTGGGAGGCCGAGGTGAGTGGATTGCTTGAGTTCATAGGTTCAAGACCAGCCTGAGCAAGAGGGAGACCTCATCTTTAAAAATAGCCGGGCGTTGTGGCAAGTGCCTGTAGCCCAGGTACTTGGGAGGCTGATGTAAGAGAATCACTTGAGCTTAGGAGTTTGAGGTTGCCGTGAGCTGTGACACCATGACACTCTACCAAGAGTGACAAAATGAGACTCTGTCTCAAAAAAAGATCAAACTCTTTGAAAATATTTCTATTGTTTCCATAAGTGGCATATGCAAGCCTTCTAATTCAATATTATTGCATCTAAAATTTTAAAGGGAACTCTTGACTATTCTTTTTTTTCCCTCTAAGTAAAACTCTTCGTCTGTGATGACTATTTTTATTTTCATTTCCTCTTTAATTTATACTTTTACTCTTAAATGTCTTTGGACTGTACACACTAGATATTCAGTATTTAAATGGTTTCTTTTGTCTGTTATTTATTTATTTATTTATTTGGAGACATTTTGTTGCACTTGGTAAAGGGCCCTGGCATCATAGTTCACAGCAACCTCAAACGCTTAGGCGCAAATGATCTTCTTGCCTCAGCCTTGAGAGTAGCTGGGACTACGGGTACCCTCCACAATGCCCAGCTAGTTTTATCTGTCTTTTAAATATATTTTTTAAAAGGTCAGGTTAATGTGAGGGTACAAACAACTGGTTACAATGTTTGCATTTGTTAGGTAAAGTTCCTCTTGTAAAGTTGTGTCCCATAGGGCCTGTAGTACCAGCTACTCAGGAGGCTGAGGCAGGAGGATACTTGAGCCCAGGAGTTCGAGGCTACAGTGAGCTATGATGATGCTATGTACTCTAGCCTGGGCAACAGAGTGAGACTCTGTCTACAAAAATAATAGGATAAACATAAAATAAAAGTGGATGAAAGAAAGGTTTTTTTTCTTCAGTGTTCATAGGAGAAAGAGGGACTACTAATCACTGTGTGTTTTCCCCTTTCCAGAACTTCCACGATGGGCGTAAAGCCCAGCAGCACATAGAGACCTGCTGGAAGCAGCTCGAATCAGTAAGTGAAACACAAACAGCTAAAGAAAGGTCTTTATGGATTTCCTAATTTGAGTTTAAGCTTGAAATTGATCAGTAAGTTAAAAACGTACAAACAAAACACTAAAGAAGCATCCTCGTGGATTTTTCTCACTGGAATTTAGTTTGATTTTAGAGCCATTATCTGTGATTTGAGCCAAAAGAGCTCAAGTAGAGTGTTTCTCTAAACACTATATGGAAAAAACAAAGGTTGGGCAGTTTTTGATAAAAATGAAGGCAGATATTAAAATGACTTTTTGGAATGTATGACATAAATCAATGCAGAGAAGAATTGCTTTGTGGTGGGGGAGGCTTATGGTAAAATTATATCGTCTCATCACTCTTTTACATTTTAGAGTAAAAGACGATTTGAACGAGATTGCAAAGAGGCTGACCGAGCACAGCAGTACTTTGAGAAAATGGATGCTGACATCAATGTCACCAAAGCAGATGTCGAAAAGGTGAGGTGAAGGCGGGAGACTCTTTCATTTCCCTTGCGAGTGACCGTTCAGCACAGACAGCCCCTCCCCAAGTTCCTCTTTCTGATGTAGCCACAAAAGGGCACCCAGCAGGGGCTGCCTGCAGCGTTGTCTCCCCTCAAGGAACCCATGCTCAGGGTAACTGGAATAATTCTTGTTGTGTCTTAAGGGTCACAGAGACACTAAATCAGGGAAATCTTCATTCAGTGTTAGAATTTGAGGAGCTTGTTTAGTCACAGGGACCATCATGCAGAGACTTGGATCGTGAGCAGATGGTAGAAAGGTGGTTTCCTGAGGTCGCAGCTCTTTCTTAATGGTTGTTCAAAGACAAAGTCACTTTCTTGAGAGCCAAGGAGATGGTTTAGGGCCATCTGGAAGAGCTTGGCTGCTTAAAATGTTTCCTTTAGAAAGATAAAGAGCCTCGCTGCTTGCCTGACTGCTAATTGATTCCTCCAGGTTGCTAACTGGGAGGTTGCAGCTGAAGGCTTGCATTCTTGAGTCCTCTCAAAAGCTTTCTCTAAATGGACTTGTCTTGGCCATTAAGAATATTATAAAGCTGGTAGTGTGTCTTCTTGTGGCTCAATATGTGTTTTTCCCCTAGAAGCTGAATTTTCTTTTCATAAAAGTCATCAATACAGTGTGAACAAAATTAGACTGTTCATTCATTATGGCCCTGGGCCGTTTGGGCACTCACAGCCTTGTGCTGGACACTTGTGAAAGCCCTATGTTTTTATAGATTTCTTTTGCTTTTTCCCAGGTTAGTTGGCGATGAGTTTAGTTGGATAATAGGATGAATTAATATTTGCCCAATTCTGTCAAATTCCTCATTTAAGAGTGGGTATTAAAGAAGAAGACCAGGTATATGTTAGTATGCCTTCCTATAGAACCATTTAATATACTTAAATACATATTCTCTCTAGGTACAGTGGCTCTGGCCTGTAGTCCCAGCTACTCAGGAGGCTGAAGTGGGGTGATTGCTTAAGCAAGTATATATATTTATATACTTACTATAGGACAGGCATCCTCAAACTGTGGCCCGCGGGCCACATGCAGCCCGCCTAGGACATTTATCCAGCCCGCTGGGTGTTCTTGCTGCCGCTGCCCATCCTGCTTAGCAGCTGACTTGTCCTGGGGCCCACAGTCTGGCCCTCCAACAGTCTGAGGGACAGTGAACTGGCCCCCTGTTTAAAAAGTTTGAGGACCCCTGCCATAGGAGAAGAATGACTTCATCCTTCTCCTAATTCCCCCCCCAGAGCTAAAACGTATCTTGAATTGGTGCTATTTATTCTCCATAGCTTTACCTCTTGTGTTTGTATCACCAGTAGGTAAATTTTATAATTTTGTCCCTTTTGTATGTTTATACAAACAGAATCTTATTTAATTTATTTTTTTCTAACTTGATTTTCTTTCATTCAGCACTTTGGTTTGTTTTTTGTTTTTTTTTTTTTTGAGACAGAATCTCACTCTGTCACCCTGGTAGAGTGTCTTGGCGTCACAGCTCACAGCAACTTCAATCTCTCGGGCTCAGATGATTCTCCTGCCTCAAGGCCTCTGGAGTAGCTGGGAGTGCAGGCGTGTGCCACAAGGCCCAGCTGATTTTTCTATTTTAGGTACAGACAGGGTCTCCCTCTTTTTTAGGCTGGTCTCTAACTCCTGAGCTCCGGCAGTCCTAGAACATTAGGAGTACAGGCGTGAGCCGCCACACCCAGCCCTCAACACTGTACTTTGAGATCTAATTCGTGTGGGATATAGAACACATGACTTTTTTTTTTTTTTTTTGAGACGGAGCCTCAAGCTATCCTCCTGGGTAGAGTGCCATGGCATCATGCTCACAGCAACCTCCAACTCCTGGGCTCAAACGAGTCTCCTGCCTTAGCCTCCCAAGTAGCTGGGACTACAGGCGCCCGCCACAACGCCTGGCCATTTTTTGGTTGCAGCCATCATTGTTGTTTGGCGGGCCCGGGCTGGGGATTCGAACCCACCACCTTAGGTGTATATGGCTGGCGCCTTAGCCGCTTGAGCCACAGGCGCCGAGCCGGAACACATGACTTTTACATATTAATATTAGACTAGGGACTGCAGTGAGCTATGATCATGCCACTGAATTCCAGCCTGGACATCAGAATGGGATCCTGTCTCAAAAATATAAAGAATAAAAATTAGAGCCAGGTGCCTTCGTTGTATTTTTATTCTGCTTTTTCTGTAGAGATAGTGGTATCACCAGCAAGTAATGCAAGTTTTATTTCTTCTTTTCTGATCTTTATGCCTTTTGTTTATTTTCCATATCTTACCTTGCTAGTTACAAGCTTCATTTTGCTGAGGAAAAATACTCACTGGGCTTCTCTGTCTTAGGCTTGATTACAAAGAGAGTGCTTCAGACATTTCGTTCTGAATGATTTTAATGTCCTCTTTATTGGATTAAAGACTTTTCCTTTTTCCTGTTTTGCCAAAAGGTTTTTTCTTAAGCTTGACTTGATATGGAATATCATTAAATATTTTTCTGCTTCCTTTAATTCATCGAGTGGTAAATATCAATTTTCTTATATTGAACCCAAATTAGCAATTCCTGGGAAAAACTCAACTAGATTGTGATGTATTTTTTTAGACATAACTGTATTTGTTTTGCTAATATTTCTTTTTCTGCTTTTAACATCTTTTTTTCTTTTATTTTGATTTAGTAAGAGGGTACATACAATTATGTTATGCTATTTGAGTTTTTAAAGTTAAGTTCAAGTCACGGTTGAGTCCTTTGTCCAGGAAGTGTGCTGTGTACCCCTACATTGCACCCCTTAGGCAGGAACTTACTGAACCTGCTCCTCCTTGTTCTGTTAATATTTTATTTAATATTTTTCATGGAAATGTTCTATATTCATTGAAATTGGTCTGTAAGTTTTCTTTCTTGTGTGTTCTACTTTGCCTTATGAGTTTTGGTGTGTTTGCTCTTTTATCTGAAAAAAATTTTTTTAATATATATATTTAATTTTTAATATATATATAGTTTTTATATATATATACATATATAAATTAAGTATGTCTTAAATATTTTTTGATGCTTCTTTGTGGAAAAGCTTCTAAATACCAGTCTAGTAGTTGGCTCCTTCTTCGGGGTTGATCCCAGTGGGTTATGGTTTTGTAGTAATGTATCTGTTTCATCATAAATTTTCAAATTTGACTCGGCACCTGTAGCTCAAGAGGCTAAGGCACCAGCCACATACACCAGAGCTGGCGGGTTCAAATCCAGCCCAGACCCGCCCAACAATGATGACAACCACAACCAAAAAATAGCCAGGCGTTGTGGTGGGCGCCTGTGGTCCCAGCTACTCAGGAGGCAGAGGCAAGAGACTCGCTTGAGCCCAGGAGTTGGAGGTTGCTGTGAGCTGTGATGCCACAGCACTCTACCCAGGGTGACAGCTTGAGGCTCTGTCTCAAAAAATAAAAAATAAAAAAAGAGAGAGAAAAAAATAAAATAAATTTTCAAATTTGACTCGGCACCTGTAGCTCAAGAGGCTAAGGCACCAGCCACATACACCAGAGCTGGCGGGTTCAAATCCAGCCCAGACCCGCCCAACAATGATGACAACCACAACCAAAAAATAGCCAGGCGTTGTGGTGGGCGCCTGTGGTCCCAGCTACTCAGGAGGCAGAGGCAAGAGACTCGCTTGAGCCCAGGAGTTGGAGGTTGCTGTGAGCTGTAATGCCACAGCACTCTACCCAGGGTGACAGCTTGAGGCTCTGTCTCAAAAAAAAAAAAAAATTTTCAAATTTGTTGGCAAAACATTGCTTCTAATAAGGTCTCACTTTAATTTTTGCTGCATATGTTATGGCCCTATGATTTATTCCTAAGATTGCTTATTTATACTTTTTTCTGGATTAGTTTTTTGTTTGTTTTTTTTTTTTTTTTTTTTAGATGGAGCCTCAAGCTATCCCCCTGGGTAGAGTGCTATGGCATCACAGCTCACAGCAACCTCCAACTCCTGGGCTCAAGCGAGTCTCCTGCCTCAGCCTCCCAAGTAGCTGGGACTACAGGCGCCCACCACAACGCCTGGCCATTTTTTGGTTGCAGCCATTATTGTTGTTTGGCGGTCCTGGGCTGGGGATTCGAACCTGCCACCTTAGGTGTATGTGGCTGGCGCCTTAGCCGCTTGAGCCACAGGCGCCGAGCCTGGATTAGTTTTTTTAAAAACATCATTTTTATTGGTGTTTTCTAAGAATGTAAAAACCAAATTTTGTCTTTATGGAGCCTCTCTTTCCTATTTTTATTTTCTATTTTTTCTAATTTCTTCTTCACCCCCTGTTCCCCCTCCCTCCCTCCCTTTCTTCCTTCCCCTTTTTTCCCCTCCTCTGTCTTTGTCTTTGGATTTATTCCATTGCCTTTTATGTTTTTGAATTTTACTTGTTCTTTTAGAGACAGTCTCACTCTGTCACCCAAGCTGCAATGCGGTGGTGTGATCATAGCTCACTGCAGCTTTGGCCTCTCCAGGATGCAAGTGAGCCTCCCTCTTCAGCTCATGAGTAGCTAGGACTATACGTGTCCCACCACCACGCCTGGCTAATTTTAATTTTTTTTTTTTAAGATAGGATCTCACTTTGTTGCCCAGCCTAGTCTCAAACTCCTGGGCTCAAGTGATCCTCCTATCTCAGCTTCCCCAAAGTGCTGGGATTAAAGGGTGAACCACTGTGCCCAGCTCATTACCCTTTTAAAAAGTTCTTTCCTCAGATGCTTCCCTCTTTCTTCTTTTCTAATGCAAATATTAAGATTATAAATACCTCACTGCATCCGACAAATTTTGACATGCAGTATTATTCACGCTGCTTGTTTCCAGATACTATTCATTTCTTTTACCAATTAATCTCTCACCTGTGGTTTACTAGAAGCATGGTTTTAAATTTCCAAATGTGTGTTCTGTTTAAACTTACCTTTGTGTTATTAATTGCTAATTAAATTGCACTGTGGGCCTAGAAATTCTGTGTGACTTTGAACT